AGTCACACGTCATTAGTTTACCATCGAGTGGCACTCCATTGTACTGATTCATGGCTTTCATTGCGTCCGCTTTCCGGTCAAAGATAACATCAGCGGTTCCCAGCGATCGTCCGGACCGGTCGTAATGTATGGCAGCCTTACGAAGGTTTCCGAATTCGGCGAACAGTTCCTGAATGTCGGCGTCTGTGCGAAAAGACAACCAAAACTCTCCGTTAATAACACAATAAAATGGCACACATTTTGCCGACCAATCATAATAAGAGTCAATGCAATACCTGTTACACCGAACTCGAGGTTAGAGACCATAAGATGGGAGTTATTATTGTTTGCGGATTTAGTTGCGGCGCTATTCTGACCAAAACTGGACCGACTCTTGAGTCCTGTGTTGTCGAACAAGTCGTGTTGCCATTTGTCCGGCATTTGGTTCGGCTGTCGAGACAATGCATACCATTATTAATAGGCATTCAATTCAATCATAACTAATGTCTTATCAATTGTTTTACTCGACTGTAAGGCAGAGCTCTGTTTCGGCTGCGAAGGTTGCGTTGAGGACCCCCTCCGCCGCCACCACCGCCTCCGCCAACGAGCGGTCGACCGCCGCCTCTCTGACCGCCTCTTTGCGCGCCTCCTCTGCCGCGACCGCCGGTCTGTCCTCTTCTCCTTCCGGAACCGATTTTATCCTTTTTGATGATATCGTCTAAAGACATGTCTATTTTGTCGGCCATTTTGCGCTTCTCTTCACTCGTGTGGACACAACTGAGCGGTGAATAGAAATGAAATCAAATGAAAGCGAAATCGACTGTTGTTTTGATGCGAAGACAATGTAATGGCTGTTAGACTGAGAGGTCTAGAGGTGTGAACACAAGACACGCCACACAACAAGTGCGCACTTTTTGGCCACAAATTACGTCCAAAACTATTGATTACTTCTTGTAATGCATTGAATGTTAAGAAACAAAACATTTGTTTTCTGTCTTCAAAATCGATGACCGCTTCTCATCTGTGAGTCAAAACTCGTCAGTCATTTGTCGCCACTCGTGAGCCAACCCTCTCGCGGACTAATACATGCTTTGGTTGTCATCGTTGGCCACCGCTTCCCGAAGACTACGCGAGTGTCTCAACACGTGTTTGGATCCATAGAGACAATCGTTGGACTCATTCCACACTTGAATTGCAATTGAAATCCAGTAATGGATTCAATTCGGACTCCGTTTGGCGGCCAAGACATGGGCTTCAATTGGTCTGATGTGACCCAAGACTTCTGGAAAGCGACTGAAGGTATGGCTGATAGTTGTGGTAATGATATGAGTGATGATAACGTGTGGTGTCTTTGAATTAGAGCTGAGTTGCGGTCAGTTATTACACGACGAGTTGTTTGGTTTGTTTGAAGCCATGTCTGCCATAGAGATGATGGACCCGAAAATGGACGCCGGAATGGTCTCCAATCAGACCAACAAACAGGTCCTCAATTTGGATCAATCCATAAAAGCCAACAAAATTAAGTTAAAGGACTTCACACTCGAAGAACAGTTGGGTATCGTTGACGAGACCCTCTCATCGATGGTTACGTGGTTTGAAGGCCACTCATTGGCTCAGACCGTCTTCATTAACCTCTATCTCCACAATCCGTCACTCATTGGCGATAAAACCATTCGAGTGTTTAGTCTAATTGTTCTCAAACTCATTGATTTGATCCGTGAGTTTGTCTCGAAGGCCAACGTCTTCGAAGAGGAAGACTTTCAGCCAATGGTTTACGGCTACCAATTGGCCACCGATTTGAGTGATTCGAAGGCCTCGTCGCTGATGAGGGAAGTGGAGGAAGAATTGTCTAAAAAAGTGAAGTCTCTTCAAAGAGCTGTCGAAAAATCCAGTGAATCCGAAGCCAATAGACACGACGTCGAGTGCCATCGACTCACTTCTGGTCTCTATTTTCGGATCAAATTCTTTAGAAATCTTTTCCAAACATTGAATACATTAAAGAAAGAGACGTTTAGTAAAACTAATCGAAAATTGAGCGCAAATTTTGAGAAACAATTAGTAGAAGACATTGAAAAGTACTTAAATCAATGCAATGAAGCGATCGCTTCGTGGAAAGACACCATCGATTGCGGTGTAAAACCGGAATCGAGTTCCACGAGCGGACATAGAGCTGATTACCCGACTATTATAGGCTTTGAGCCACTCGTTAATCAACGCTTACTTCCGCCCACTTTTCCGCGCTATACAAAAATGAAGAGCCGATCCGAAGCCCTGGAATTCACGCTTCAATTGTTGCATCGGTTGAGACGTGTGTCCAAAGTATACGAGTGCTCCTCATATGAGAGTGCGTTAGAGTTCTTCAACGACTTCAGCCAAAACATTCCCTCTTCGTGTGTACTCTCGCGTTCAATACTACAGGTCCTGTATTTACCGCAACCGTGTCTAGTGTTTGGTGTGACACATATGGCGCAAGTGGTGCGCGAGTCGTGCAAACAGTTTATCAAACCGCCCTCTCTTACCACCAAAAGCGTCCAAATCAACAGCAATCCCAACGCTAAGGAACTGTTGGAGAACTTCTTCCAGCGGGCGGTGCGGCCGATGGCCTCATTGACACAGATCTGCGGCCACAATAGAGCGCGTCAGAGGGAAAAGTTGGCTCAGATTCTCGAAGAACTCACTGCACTCCAGGACGAGGCCGACAAAGTGGACAACTATTTGAATGCATTGACACAGAAAAGTGATCCGCAAACCAGTCATTTGGGATATTATAGCACTTGGGTTTTGTATCACATCCTAAGAGTTATGACACAATACCTTCTCTCGGGCTTTGAATTAGAGCTCTACTCTCCACACGAATATCAATACATATTCTGGTATTTGTATGAGTTTTTGTACGGATGGATAGTCTCGACACTCAATCGGGCCAGTAATCTGATCCTCGAACAGGAGGCCATCGCCGGTATATATAGATAATTGCATTACAATAATTGCTTATTTATAGCTAAATATATTTTTAGATCAAATTCAACAGCAATTGAAAGGCAAGAGTAAGAAATTCCGTATTAAGAAACGCAAACAAAGGCCACACTACCAACACATACTTATATACCAATCGCTACAACATCTCAACAATGGTTTCTATAAAGCCATTTGTGGCTTCAAATTAGATAACAAACTACCGGTCCCTCAGTCGGCACTCAATAGCGAACAACTGCGATATGAGCACAGGTTTATGCCGTTTCGCAGTATAATAGCGCCGCCGCCCGTCCCGTACCACCAATTCAAAGATATGACTAGCAATGTATGGCAACAAACCTCTGGTGAACTCTATTTGATGTCTTGTAAAAGCTTCCAACAAACAAAGGCTTTACTCGAAACTATAACTGATCCCAAACAAGAAGTATTGATTTATTTTAATACAAATAAAATTCTTATCTCTCTATGATTTCAGGTCTCGTCTTATATTAAAATAGCGAAAACTAATTTCGTTGTAATGAAACTCTTACTGAGTGGACATCAAATGGACTCTCAGGTAATGGCTTTCAAATGAATGACAATAGATTTATAATAAACACTACAATAATTGTATCATTTGTTAACAGAAATGTCCAGAATTCGACTTTTCGGTCAATCCATACTTTCCGTTAATAAGTATTTATAAGAAATGAATTTATATACAAAACATTTTATCAAATTTTAGTAGTTATTTATTTATAAATTAATTCAAAGATATACATCCATTGCAATAATAAAATAATATAGAAATTAATTCATTTGGAAAAATATACATTTCATTATAATTGTTGACAACAAATGGGAGTTTAATAGAAAAGATTACTTAAAGCCATCGCCAGACAACTGATGGCAATGTATGGACTCTTTCGTTCGCCAATTCGGGCGCACTTCCAGAAGACGCCCAAAAACCTATTCAGGCAATCAATTCAATTCATTACGAGAGAGAGAGAGAGAGAGAGAGAGAGAGAGTGGACACATACCCGGTCTTTCTCTTGTCGAGTATTTGTGTCAAAGACCTGATGTAAGTACACGTGCAGATCAACAGCAACACCACTGTTAACAGCGATTGGAAGTTAAATAACGCCGACTGTAATGCAAAACCACGTTTAGATACAATTTAGCAGTCATTCAAATCTATTTCATTACCATTTCTTTGAGTTTCAATGAGTCAATCAATGAGTTGTTTCACAGCGAAAGCGAACCAAACATTTAAACAATCATTTCATATGTTTTAACAATTCATTCATTCAATACACGCAATGCCTGTCATCACAATCCGCTCACACCCACAATAAAATGGTCACTGAGTTTATGAATGATTAGCCAAAGCAGAGCATTGAGTGGAACGGTTGGGGGTTACGAAGCTGTGTTGTCACGTGATTTGTGGACAAGTGTAACACAATGTGTGCACATTATGGACATTGACTGACGAAATGTTGCTGTTTTGCTGTCAGTGCGGAACCCGACTGTCACTGTCGGGCGCGGGCAGTGTGTGTCACGTGATGTCGTGCCCCACGTGTCCGTACGTGCATCGGGTGTCGCAAAGTATTGTCAACAGAAAGTATCCCAAACTGAAAGTAGTGGACGAAGTGCTGAGCGATTCGGCCGTTTGGCAGACCGTCGACTCCACGGACGAGAAGTGTCCCAAATGTGACCACAAGAGGGCGTATTTCATGCAATTGCAGACCCGATCCGCCGACGAACCCATGACTACATTCTACCGCTGCTGTAGTTGTAGTCATCGATGGAAAGACTGATCCAAACGCGCCATCACGTGCTGCACCACATCCTTCACATCCTATACTTGTCATCATTTATTAACTTTACTTATTTATTATAAAGCAATAAAATTAACTTTTTAATTTAATTTATACTTATTGTATGTCAAACACATTTGCAATTAATTGTCACAAATTGTGTGGCTTTTATGAGCAGTTGTTATATTGGTTTATCAACTCACTTTGCAAGCAACTTTGAAATCTAACCATGGTCAATGGGTAGGCATTTTTAAAACAATTTTAAGTTTAATTGCAAAGACAATTCCTCGTAACGATTTTAGAGCTTGTAATCTGAATAAAATTTGAATGAGCATTAAATGAACATGGTCGTAATGAAGTATACCTTTCTATATGTTCCTATAGTTTAATGTGAGAAACAATTAGTTTTGAAATTGATGTGAAATATAAGTTTTATGCGATACAAGTCTCGCGACTTTCCTATTTAAATGACATATCGTTTAGATAGAAGAGAAATGTGCGGAAAGTATACTTCAGGCAAAATGCCATTTCTATGGTCTCTGTTTGTCATTTGGACGTGTGTTTTACAATTTGTCAATTCAAATGAAAAGCTCGCAATGAATGCTGAAAATAAAGACACGTTTCGAGCGAATGAGGGCAAAGACGGCAGTATTTTAAGTTTCCTTTCTGTGGACTACGAAAACCCGTTTGAGAGGACTATTTGGATGTCATGTCTGTATCTATTGGTCGCGTCGCTCATCAAAGTTGGTTACCATCAGAGCTCATTCCTCACTAATAATATACCCGAGTCTAGCGTATTGATTATGACAGGTCTCGGGTTCGGCACACTCTTCAAGTACTATACAATCACTAAATTCATGACAATTATAATTGTTTTCATAATTGCATTACTTATACATTGCATTACATAAAGAATATTTGACACCAACGAACAGATCAGGTTTCCATCGTTTTCGGTCAAACTATTTATGTATGGATTACTTCCGCCGTAAGTATCGCTATAACTATTACAAAATGTTTGCCATTTCTCTACAATTAGTAGTGATTTACTGATTATCGGCGTAACAAATAAAACAATGCACGCATTTATAGGATTATTTTAGAGGCCGCCTATTCTCTTCACGACCAGGTGTTCTTCAATAACGTGGTCACTATTCTTATGTATGCGGTTGTGGTCTGTATTTCAATCAATTACTCGCCATTTGATTGTTAACAATAATCAAGATATTTTTCTTTTAGGGAACATTAATCAATGTATTCCTAATCGGAATCTCTCTTTACTTAGTTGTCATAATTAATTCCGACCAAAAATACTTGGATTTTCCCAAAGTATCACTTATAGAGCTATTGATATTCGCTAATGCCATCAGTGCTGTCGATCCCGTCACTGTATTTCTCGCATAGTTTTCATTAACTTTAATATATTTAAAAAATATTTATTGTTTTCATAATAGGTTTTGACAATATTTCAAGATTTAAAAGTTAATAAAGCCCTGTATTTCCTAGTGTTTGGCGAATCCCTATTAAATGGTACGCAAAGTTTAATGTGATTTTATTAAATATGTTTTACTAAAATATAATTGAATTTGAAAGACGCTGTGGTTATAGCACTGCACGAGAATTTGATTGATTTTATAATTACACCTCTCATAACATCACATCAAATACTGTTTGGTATATTTGGCTTTTTCATCGCCAGTATCGGAGGTTTTGCGATCGGAATAGTGTTTGGTATCATTACATCTGTTATGACTTTATATACTAAACATTCAGAAGGTTTGCAAATTCTTACTTTACTATATGCTGTAAATGAAGAATACATTATTTTTCATTTCAAAGTAATCGAACCGATGCTAGTGATAGGAACAGCATATCTCGCTTTTCTCACGGCAGACATTATGGGCACTTCAGGACTTATAAGTCTCGTCGGCTGTGGACTTGTATGCGATATGCAATTCATGTTTAATATATAAAAACATAATTAAATTGAATGTAATATTAGGTTCAGTTTGAATTCGCCAATAGAAATGTAACAGAAAAAACTAAAACAACAGTTAAATACTTTGTGAAAACATTAAGGTACTATTTGTTCGCAATTTGTCAAATTTATAAATCCTTTTCTAATTATGCCATCAATTTGTGGTACAGTTCTGTCGCAGATCTGATGATATTTTTCTTTTTGGGTCACAGTCTTATATACAAGTGGCCGGAATGGAACTATGTAATGCCATTTGGAGTTTTATAACTTATTAATTACAGCAAAACTTTCACTAATGTATTAAATTTTATATTAATTTGATTTTCAACGCAATTGTCGCGCAATCTTTAGTCATTTGTAATCCTGTCCATAATATTCTGCTTAATCTATCGAGTCGTCAGTAAGTTTTTAATTTAAGTTATAAACTAAAACACTTGTAATAATTTTTAAAAATATACAATTATAGGTGTTTTTTCGCTCTCATTTGTGGCGAATACATATTTCCACAGAACTCGAGTGATTAACTTAGAAGAACAGGCGCTTATGGTATCAAATCAATTATTCCGACCATTATATAGAAATTAATATGTGTTTATATATAAACCAGTCCTACGGCGGTCTTAGAGGAGCCGTTTCTTTCGCTATGATTGCACTCTTAGAAGAGGTGCCAGAAGTGCAGAAAACAGCTCTTTTTCGTACCACAACTTTAGTTATAATCCTATTTACAGTATTTATTCTGGTATTTATACAATATTTATCACTATTCTTATGAAAACAAACTAAATAATAATGTGGTATTAAAGGGCGGATCGACTAAACCTCTTCTAAACATTTTGCGTATTCAAAAAGACACGACTCAAAGCAAAAGACTTTCTTATATTATACACGAAAAGGTGCGTAAACTTTGAATTTAATGTAATAAATGATGAATTGATGACATTATTAAATGCAATTGTTTAGGTCATCGATACAGTGCTCGACGGCATCGAGAATATTGTGGGAAACATCTCTACAATGAATTGGCTTCGAGTAATTTTGATCATTTTGCGCACGTATTCAATGATTTAATGCATTAATTTTTAGCACAAATTGGGAGAAATCATTGAATGGATTAAGAAATATATAGCCAAAGACTCGGAGGATAAGATTGAAGCCGACGTTAAGAAGTTGGCCCGACAGTGAGTTATCATGTTATTACACATTTATAATTATTTTAATCAATATTAACATATTTTTACAATTCTAGCGAACAAATAGACAAACAAAAGGATTCCGATGAACACAAAGCCAAAAAAGTGGATCCTACAAAAAAGTATGTGAATTAATGTAACTTTTTAAATGCTTCAATACTTTTCATATACCTTAATAAATGGCATGAATTACACACTTATATGAATGTTATGTCTATAATGAGGTCATCTCCCGATGAATTCCCGATTCCATTGGAGAAAATGAAGAAAACGGTTGACAAACACAAAGCTTCGATCGGAAATATATTTTCTACAAATTTGACAAAACAGGGAACAACTCCTCTATTGATAAGTAATATGTGTTTCAGTTAATAAATAAAATTGTGTTGTTATACAGAATATTAGTATAATGTTATACAGAATATTAGTATAATGTTATACAGAATATTCTGGTGACTAACAGATTATAATTGGTTATAATTTTAGAATCCACTAAAAATACTGTAAATGTGGCGAAAGTGATCCGGAATCACAACATTCCTCACAGTTTGAGTTCGCAAATCTTGAGCGCAAAGAATGAATTCAAATCCGATACTAAAATTGAATCGAAAAATGAAATAAAAGCCTTAGAAATAAAGAAACACTTTAAGGAAATCGCTTCAAAGCCCGATACAAAGGCTAATACAAGCGAAGAACAAACTAGTACACTTTGATTACAAATATAACTCATTTTAACATATAAACAGACATCACACACATTTTTATTATCAACATATTTTTAGTATATCCTATAGTTTTAAATTGTTATTTTTAAATATACAGTATTTTATTTATTTTTAAAATGTCATTTTTATATAAAAGTTTAGTAAACCTTCAAAATTAATAAACAATTATCACTAACAAATAGACATCACTATTAGATGAAATGAGAGAGCATTTAGTAATTACTTATTGGGTTTTGAGTTGAGAAGTGACTGCAAGTGATGTATATAAGTGATGGCAAACCGGAGTGTTTCCACTTTGGATAGTCTTTTATCCTTAA